AATAAATAAATAAATAAATTAAAAAAAAAACAAAAAAAGAAAAAGATGGAAAAAAAAGAAAAAAAAAGCAAAGCTACACAGAGAGAAAGTAGAGAGACGAAGGGTAAGCTGAACAAATGTGTTGAACTTCGCAAATGCAGACAGACAGATAATAAGAGAAAGAGAAAGCACAGAGGAAGAAATACTCCAACAAATAATAAAGATGAATTTCTCAGACCTAAAGAGTACCAGAAGGTACAGATCAAAATAGTCTCAGAATGCTCATAGGAAACAAACAAAAACACATCAGAAAGAAACATAAGCATCTAAAAGGGAAAAATAAAACTTTCAGAGAGAACATGAAACCTAAAAAGGAGGGGAGAAATGAATGATACCATTTAATATTTCTCCTCATCAGATTATATATTTTATCAAAATTTCAAACTCATTAAGGAATAAAAAAAACACACAGTTCAAAAAATCAATCAGCAAAAGGAATGAGCTGGGACTGAAGCTATGACCTGGGGCTAGAGTCCAAGTCCCCTGCCACCACCAGCTCAGTCAGAGTAAGTGGTGAAAGAAGATGACCAAGTGGCCTGAGTCTCATGGCCAGGTTGCCTCAAACCAGGAGTGTGGCAGTCACTCCTTATCATCAGGAGTTCAGGCCTGTCTAGCGAGGCTAGCCAGGTTCAGGACGATTCATTTTAGTTGGGTCCTCCAAACTGAGCACTCTTTGAACTTAGGAGATTGGCCACAGAAAGATGATCAGCTCAAATCCTAACCAGTTTCCTCACTCCTGGCCTCAGCATTTTCTAGGCACTCATGCAGTGAGTTGTAGTAACTGGGAGCTCTCTCCTGCCACTTGTCAAGCCAGGGAATAGGGAGTTCCCACTGCCTGCTCTGCCACACCTCCTCTTGCCCATTCAAAAGCAAGCCTCTTGCCTCTCTCCATGGGAAGTCCTGTCTACAGTTCAAAGTGCATCCTTCCCCAGCTCCTGTCCATTCCAGGAAGACAAGGCCGAGACTTTCACTCTTGATTTAGGTCTTTGCTCCTTAGTGGACAACAGTCAATCCTATCCTTTTAATCTCGCACTAAGGGTGTGATCCATTTGGATCGCCAGCTTCTTGACCATCTCTGTGTGATTTCCCACCCATCTGAGGTCCAGCTTCACTCCAGCTCCCAGGATCCAGTTCAGGATTTTCCCTGTTAGAAGGCAGATCCAAGATGGCATCTGGTGTGGGAGGTCCTTCTGTCTATGTGTTGCTTTTATTGATTAATGAATAAAGAAACTGGCTTGGCCTATAGCAAGGGAGAAGGACGGTAGAGTTGGGGAGAATCCATGGAGCTGCCGCCAGAGACAGACCTGCTGAAACTTTGCTGGTAGGTCATGACTTCATAGTGATGCACAGATTAATAGAAATGGGTTAAATTAATATGCAAGAGTTACCCAATAAGAAGCTAGAGCTAATGGGCCAAACAGTGATTTAATTAATACAGTTTCTGTGTGATTATTTTGGTTCTGGGTGGCCGGAATGAACAAGCAGCCTCTTCCAACAGGCATCTCTACTCACCTTGAACAGGAAGACAAACAAACAAAAATAAAAAACCACAAAGAGCTCACTGCAATCAGTTTTCTGGCAAGAGAGCTGGAGAAGCCCAAGAAAGGCTCAAGCGTCAGGTCTTTCTTTAACACTGAGCCTCCGGACTTAGATTCCAGTACAACTCAGAGGAGAAAGAGGATTCCATGTGATGAGAAACCATTCTTTGTATCAAGCAGGATTACTTACTGTGCTGCTGCAAGATCTGTTATCCCCTCCGAGCTTTCGTCATCTTGGAGGCAGGGTCTGGACTGTATGCTGTGTTGGCTTGATGGGAACGCACTTTACTCTCAAGGAGGATCTGGATTCTTTGGACTCGGTGGTTTTCTATAAAGAGGACACGAGTTGGGAGGTTAGGGAAGGGGAGTTGTATCTGGGAGAAGTTAAAGGGTTGAATATGATCAAAAGGCGCTGCATAAAATTCTCAAAAATTAATGCTAATTAAAAACAACAAGATAAAGAGAAAATTTTATATTAAACATATGCACAAAATAAAAAGAGAAAACATAAGGATCTATTGGCTGGAACAAAACAAATATGATTCAGGTTTGGGTACCCACTATCTAATATTAAGAGGGTCATTCAACATATTTATAAAAGCGTGGTAAGATTTTTAACTTGTCAGAAATTCTGGAAAAAGTTCTTTGTATCTTGCTTACACATTCGTGTGAAATATCACCATCGGTGAACATAGTAAACTATCTTAGCATAGAACACGAAATAACAAAAAAATAGCAATGGCATTCAGCTGGACAGCATGCAGAGAGTGAGAGACCCTGGAACCTTCATCTTTAATGGGATGTCTCAATCAAATCCCTCCCCTCAGGGCTCAGGGAATCCTACAGAAGAGGAAGCAGAAAGACTTTAAGATCCAGAGGGCATGGAGAACACCGAGAAAACAAGACGTTCTAAACACAGTAGGACTCACGCACATATGAACTCATACAGGTTGAGGCAGCATGCACAAACCTGAGTGTGTCTATGCTAGACAGGACCAGGGCAAACGGTGGACACGAGCCACCATCACAAATCCAGAAGCTCTCCCTAATTGATAATTGTGCACACATGGAAAAACTACTGTTCTCTTATAGACTCTCGCTGAGTACACAAACCACTCAAGGGCAGGCCCGATACTGGCAGTAAATGGCCAGTCCAAGAATTCAATGACAGTTTTGGAGGTTCTTTGTCTCATAACGTTTTTGCTATGGCTCTCTCTCTTTCTCTCTCATTCTCTCTCTTTCTCATTCTCCCCCCCCTCTCTCTCTCTTAAAGGTCCTTTGAGTATATACCATGTTTCCAGGTTAGTGTTTTTATGGGATTTCTCTAAGTGTGAATGTGTATGTTTCTGTATCAATGCTTTTCTAAGGCTTTTTCTTAGGTTCTTTTCTTTTATTAGGCTTTTTTTCTTGTTTGTTTTGTCCTATTCTGCTTATCTTAATTATTCTACTTAATTATATATCTTTTGTAGATGCCTGTTTGTTTCCTAATGAGAGAGAGCAAGAAAGGATCAGGATTTGGGTGGGTGGGAGGTGGGAAGATCTGTGAGGAGTTTGGGGAGGGAAAACCATAATCACAGTAAATTGTATGAAGCAAGACCTATTTTCATTAAAACATTAGTGATGGCGTAAAATAAACCATTTTAATAAAGGTTTTAAAGACCCAATTTCTCAAATACATTGGACATGATTTCTAATGTCAGTGACAAGTGCTTATTGATACAATTGTGGGTTTAAAAGGGTCTGCCATTTCTGAATAGAAATAGAGGAGGAGTGGGTGGATGGAATAGGGATGGGGTGAGAGGAGACAAGGGAGACTGTGGTCAGGATATTAAAACATAAATAAAAATGAAATAGTTTTACTTGCGAGCTTTAATTAGCACTTAAGCCAACAGCAGACATTTCTGGTAGAAGTCTAAGAGGCTTCTTATAAAAAATTTCACTATGCACATCCAGAGACAGGGATGTAAATTTCAAATATGTGTGAGCAAAAACATGGAAGTCCATTGTCTGGAACATGAAAGACTCCAATGCCTACTTGACTTAACTTTTCTAGAGAGCTGTCCGGGAGGAAGTAGAGGGCATAGGAATACAGGAACTCTAGAGAAACTTAACTGTAATAGGGACTCAATGCTCTATTCCTAGAGGGAAGAAATGTGGTCAAGGGGAGTTTCCTAATGAGGAGAAGTAAACATTTCATCTTGTGAGAGGCTGAAATGTATTCTTATCCAAACGTATCCAGAACCTGTACGTGTGACCGGATGGTCTACTTGTAGATGTCATCAGATTGGGTTCATGTTAGACCTGAAGAGACCTCAACTCAAGGGCTTTCTTACACAGAGTAAATACACAATATAAGCACATAGAGAAGAGAATGTCCCTGCATGTGGTACAGATACTGGAGCGATATGTCTCCAAGACAAGGGCAGTGATGGCTGCGAACAAGCTCAGAGGTGAGCGGAGCTATACAGTCTCCCTAAGACTCCCCAGGAGCAACCTGCCCTGGAACCACCTTGACTTTGAGCGTCTGGCTCCAGAACTAGGGGATGATCATCTTTCATTTCAAGCCACACAATCAGTCCTGCCTTGTTACACTAGCCTCACGCAACACACATACACACACACACACACACACACACAAAGCGATGGGAATGAACCAATGGGAAACAGGGTCCGAGTGGCAGAGATCCAGCTGCGGAACAAATGCCCTTGAGAAACAAGAAGGGGTCTTTTTTTTTTTAATGATTTTTTAAATATTTATTTATTTATTATTTATACAATAGTCTGTATGCCTGCTGGCCAGAAGAGGGCACCAGACCCCATTACAGATGGTTGTGAGCCACCATGTGGTTGCTGGGAATTGAACTCAGGACCTTTGGTAGAGCAGGCAATGCTCTTAACCTCTGAGCCATCTCTCCAGCCCCCAACAAGAAGGGGTCTTAAAGATGGCAACGTTCTTTAGGCAGATATTAAAAAAAAAAAATACTTTCATGGCGCAAACGTGTGGGTTACTCTAAGTAATGAGTAACAAAAAGGTCACAACACTTAGAGATCAGAGACAGGCCCTAACAAATGCATCCACGAAGTTCCAATAAATAAAAGATGGAGCCCTCCTTCTAACAGTCTAGGAGGCAGCTCGGCTGTCACCATTTATTCCCTTTCATTTCCCACCATGATTAACAGTTATTTGGTGATTTTATTTCACCAGGTTAATTTGCTCATTTTAAGCCTAAAATATTGAGCACGAAAATGTGACAGGGTCAGGAGGGCCATTTTGGGAAAACAACGAATTGTGTTTGATTTGGCAACCCGAGGAACCAGTGGCTCTGGTGACGGTTGTACATCAGGACTCAGCAGCAAGGAAGCACTTGCCGTAGTGCCTAACCCGCCCCTTCCCTTCTTAGAGGAGTGTTACCTGCAGACGCTGTTGTAAGTTGTCTTACTGGATGGCTTGGCTTCGAGGAGGCAGGCTGTAAGGTGAGAATCTATTTGCCTGAGAAAGTTGTAAAGTCCTAGTCTCCTAGACTTCTTTGGAAGAAGCCAGTAAACTCTCCAGACAACAGCACTGCCCCAGTACAAACAGACATTTGTGCTGAAAGGGAAAGGCGGGCCTTTGCGCCCAGGGTGGTAACAACCGACCACAGGGCGCGTGCCTACCGTGATCCTTTGCGAAAGGACTACGGGGCGTGACACGTGACCCTTGGCTCCTCAGGCGCTCTCACGCGTCCACAAAACGCAGCAAAGACCACAGGGGGCAAGTCAGCTCTGCTACTTAAGCAGCTACAAGAAGGCCTATAGGTACCAGAGATCATGGGCGCCTAGAACACCTATGCCACACTTTTTTATTTTAAACACATATGTTTAAAAAGCAAACAGAAGCGGGCGGTGGTGGCGCACACCTTCAATCCCAGCATTTAGGGGGCAGAGGCAGGCAGATCTGGGTCAGTTTGAGGCCAGCTTGGTCTACAAGAGCTAGTTCCAAGACAGGCTCCAAAGCTACGGAGAAACTCTGTCTCAAAAAACCAAGAAAAAAGAAACGGAGGGGAAAAAAAAAGCCAACAGAAAGCTTGCCGTGCCCTGCTAGCAAACAAGGAGCAGTGGCTTTTCCAGAAAGGAAGAGGAGAGTGACAGTTATAGGTTTTCACAGAAAATAAAACAAAGACATAAAAACCAAAGTAAATAAAATGCTTTGGGATGCTAAGGGAGAGGTGTGTTTTTAAGCAATTTCTTGCTCTAATGACTGACATTAGGAGTAGCCCTGAGGTTGCAATGTCATGAGAGTGCGCTAGGTACGTACATTTAATGGTCACTTATTTTCTGGGAATGAAGAAAAAGGTTTTGTTTATGTGCAATAGCAAATGAGCAGAGCCGGGATTCCTTTGGAATATGCGGTCTGAGGTACCAGCAGGGTCACTGGCTTGGATGATGTGCTGATAAATATCTGTTGCTGCATAAATAAGCAGATATTTATGTCTGCTAAAGTATGTTAGATAAAGAAGTACTCAGCTTATTGAAGCTTTTTCCCTGTGTAGAAAGTTTTTACTCTCCAGGAACCTTTGGAAGATCCGCAGGTGAGTACTGATTGGCAGTCACAAATGTAGCTCTATAGCAGGTTTATCTATTGCTATGCAGCTTAGCATATCTGATGACAAACATCACTTGCGAAGCATTCTATGACACACATGAGTTTCTGGGTTTAAAGTCTGGTGGTGAGGGACAGTTAACTTGGCTTTTCTGTGCCTCATTCTGTGGCTGTTAATACGAGAAAGGATGAAAGGAGTTGAATCTGTGTTAGAATAATGTCTAGCAACTGTATAGCAGGTTCTGAGAAAGTGAACTCTGGGCATCATTAAGGAAGCCTTTGCCTTGTTAGAACTTCAGCTGTATTTCCTAAATGAATTTTTTTTTCACAAAACCTTGATTTTGTTGAAAATGACATTAATAAAACATGCTGGCATATTTCCCTCTACTAAATAATGAAAATAGCATAGTTTTTCCTTCTATTTTGACTTATAGAAATTCGTTAGACTCTGGTGGGTGTGATGGTCATACCTTATATCTAAGCATTCAGAAGGCTGAAACAGGAGAATTCCTATGAGTTTGAGGCTAGCTTCGGCTACATACCAAGTCCAAAGCTAGCATTTGGGTAAAGAGTATAACCTAATCTCAAAAGACCAAGCCAAGTTTTACAATTGTCAGCGATGTTATTGGCGATAGTATTTGTTCTGACAGCAGATCTTCACCTCTTGCTCTGCCTCCAAATCCAGTCCTGGAGCAAAGTAACAATGGCACCATTGTGAAAATCCTAATTGGTTCAATAATAAAAATCCT